GGGCCAGAGAGGAGGATTGTACATTGATTTTAATCATAATATTGTATGTGTTGTGACCACTGGGGAGGACCACTGAATATGCCTTCTTCCTCCCATACTGATGAATACTTTTTTACTCAACATTGTACGCTTCAGGTGAAATGAGAACATTTTTACATCTCAGAATTGGAAGTGAAAGGACTGTAATTAAAGGAGAGGGCGCTGAGGGGAGTTGGTAGAAATAATATATGAAATCAGGGCAAAGTTTTAGGGTCAGAATTAGTGAGATGCATTCTAGGAAAAGATTAGGAGCACAAATCAGCTGAAATTTAGTTACTGGGCTGGAAATTGTGTTAAAATATCTCCACCTAATAAGCCAAGCACTGAAGCATCCCCTGTGTTTTGTTTTGTTTTTGTTTTTGTTTTTTTTTTTAGTTTCTACAATAGATTCAGAAAGAGATTAAAGTCACATCATCAGCAGCAAATTTTCCTTAAGCCATAAGATTACTGCTGCTTTTGGTGAAATCCTTGAAAGCAGGGACAGGACTGTGGTCATGTTTTTGAAAACCCCTCTTAGCTGCACTGGTGGGGACAATGCGTTTGGATGAAGTGGAGGAAAGCTGCCTGCTGACTTCTATTATTCCTTTCCTAGGACTGAAAAAAAAGCATCTTAGGAAAGCTTTTTTTTTTTTTTTTTTTTTTTGTTAAACTGTCACAGCATAAAATCTTGCATAAAAGAAATCTTAAACAGGGACATTGGAGCTATTTGAGAGCTGTGTAATGAGATGGCAGTCCAGGATGGGCACCTTGCTTTATGTACAATGCTGTTTTATACATGAAGCCATCTAATAAGATATATGTGTCCTTTAATTAAGGTTTCATGTACAGTGTAGTAGTAATGAGGGAATATGATGAAAAGAAATGGAAAAGGAAAGAGCTTTATTTACCACGCTGAGAAGCCTTTATCATATGGAAATGATCAGAATTTAAATTTTTATCATCTGTCACAATTTGCTGCTGCTTTAATTAAAATAACACCAAGGATGTGTACAGTGAGTCTGGCTAGATGTGCTTCGTGCTCTTAATGACTGTCAGATGGGAAGGCAAGGGGTACAGAGAGGGCAGGGCTGCGGGAAGATCCGGAGGGAGATGGTGCCAGATGGCTAGGCTTATTTTATTAATTTAGATCTCCATTATGGCTTCTCTGTTCTTCATTTCTCCAAAGGATAGGTTAGTTTAATGGGAATCATTTCACAGCCACAGAATGACATGTTTAACTCTTTGGAGCCCATAGCACCGCATGAAAGTGTGTGTGCCAGTCGTGTGTCCCGTCAGCGGGCCACCTCCGCCAGGCCCCGGCTCCAGCCCAGGTGCTGAGCCCACAGCAGCCCTCCCTCAGGTAATGTGTTGAATCCTGCTGTCCTAAACCGCTTCCAGCTTCTGATCGTTGCAGCAAAGGAGCGCCAAGGCAGCGTTTTGAGCCATTTCTCTCCTGTTACCACCTCACTGCTCAGGCAGGGGCTGTCCAGGCTGCTGGGCTTCACCACATATTCTGGGCTCATCTTTTACATCTGCAAAACCTTCTGTTTAGTAGCAAGTAGCCTCAGTTGTCTTCTTGCAGCTCTTGGGTGCCTGGATACCCAGAAAGCATAGCAAAGTACTGAGGAAAGTGAATTTAAAAGATTTTTTTCTCTTCGGTTTTGTCTTCATGCAGGGTGTGCTCAGTTACTGAGGTATCTGCCGCCTCCCCGTGGCTGCTGTGAAAAGCTGCACACAACTGGAGAGTGATTTTTAAATATTATTTAGATTTAGGAATTTAGAGATAAAAAAAAGGAATGTTGTCTTCTGAAAATCTGTTTGGCACAGTCTAAAGCAAGAAGCTACTGAGGCGTTTGCATGAAGAGCAGGTTTTTTTAATTTCTTCCCTTTCTCTGTCCACTGTGATAACAAAGGAGCTTTGATTTGTCAGGTCTTCTGCATCATCAGTGGTTATTGGATTAGTATTAGGAACAAAATGAGCTTGTTTTCTGTGATTCAATGAAAAAAACCACAAAACTTATGAAGAATTTCTTGTTCCTGAGTCCTCTATAAAAAGCCTGTTCATTAATTCACTTTATGAGTCGATTCAGAAATCTGTATCACATTTAAGTCATTCTTGGATTCTAGGCTAAATTTGCAGCTAGACTAATTTTGACCACAACCGTATAACCGGAACAAATGGCAAGGTGCATTTCTACATACCGTGAGTTTAGTAACACATGCAGGAAAAAAACTGAATTCACTCCAAAAATCTATGGTACATGCCATGACAAGAAAAAAACCATACCAGCTCAAAATATCGTGCCACGTAGAGGATGAAATCTTGCACTATAACATAGGAATAAGGCATAACATTTTCAAGATTCTGAATTAATACTTGGACTTTTGAACATCTGTATCAATAATTTTCATAATTGTATTGGGATTCATAGTTTTTTTCCAAACTATGTGAATTTGTAATTGTTTGCAGGTCCATCCCCCAGAATCTCACAGGTGTAAGAAATCTGCATTTTGTCAGCCCAAGGCTGATGATAACATGACTTTTGATGGCAAAGTAATTTATGCAGTCACCTCCACTGGGTCTGCAACGTTCGGTTCTGTGCTAATGACAAAGCTTGTGCTTTGCTGAGGAGGAAGGTGAAGACAAGAGGCAGGGATGCCTGGGAGCTCTGAGTAAGTTTTTGCAGAGTCTGTGGGGTGATGATGAAATAAAAGATCTCATGTAGTCATTGAGCATTGGCAAGTGAGATGCAAGAGAAACACGGTGTTGAACTGTCGATGACTCCATTGAGCACTCACCCAACACGTTGCCTGTGGAAAGCTGGGGCTAGCCACTGGCTGGTGCGGGGCTGAGAGCACCTCAGGTCTGTACACCCCTTTGCATTGCTCTTCTCAACCCCTCCTCACTCACCAGTTAGTGAGTGAGGGGCCTTCCCGCCCTTGGGAGCATCACGAGCAGGTGTCCTTCCCACGCTTACTGTTACAAATGACGAACGTAAAAACCCAGCTCTCTCGTCTATGGGAAGCTCGCATTCTGTATGATAGTATGGGGATGGCACCCTGAATGCTAACTTGGCAGGTAGGGGTAGAGATGACTAGGTTGATGGAGCATGTTATTCTGCTTCAGATTATTCTGAAGTCTTACACATATGCTGTATATTAAATATTACATAAAATAGCTAATAAAATATTAGATGAGATAAAATCTCAAGACCAATCAGAATTTGTCAGGCTATCAAAGTTAAGTCTCTGGGCATGGTGAACATACATTTTTGAGAAAGATACACAAAATTTAGAGGCAGTTCTTTGACAAGGATCTCAAATTTCAAGTGTTTTTTGCAAAGCTTATCCAGACTTTTGGAGCTTTGCTGTCATTTCAGATCTTCTGAAAGCTCCCAACTTTCCTTGTTAGGCTTGACAGTAAGCAAATATTCCCAGTCCTTCCTTACTCCTTCCCTAGCACTCCCAAAATTGCCTGGGTATTTTCCAGTCATTTTGTTAAAATAATTTTACAAATGCTTTTTATCCTACCTTTACCCAGTGCTTGAGTTCTGTGTTCTCATTGCTCCTATTTTACTCTCTTTCTCTCAGTACGTTTTGTCTTAATATTCAATATTGTACCAGGATGAGAGAGAATGAGCTCATGACTGAGTGTGAATGAAGTAGACTTTGAAAATTATATGACATAAAAAATTGTATAAAAATATATTGAATGATTTATTTAAGGATGTGAGTACATTATAGTAGTAATCTAATTCCCAGTATCTTCCTAAGCAGCTTTCAAAACCATTTTTTGATTTCTTTGGGTTTTGAATTGCTGCTAAAATAATGAAAATGGATGGAGCTGATGATGAATCATCATGACAATGTTTACTATCAACGGGGATTTTTGCCAGAGTGTTTTAATCAGTAACAGGGTCCCAATGGCACTGGCCCACTTAGACCTGCAGATAAAAAAAAAAAAGTTCTTGCTATTTCCTTTGTTTATACTGATGTTGCAACATCTTAAATTAAAGCTTCTATTAAGGGTAATAAATTAATCTCTTTCAAAGCTCTGCGGTTAGATGGCAGGCAAGCACGCTAAGCACGCGCTTGGGTTTCTCTGCGTAGCCCCTGGGCTGATGTACCTCCAGGCGGGAGAAGGCACAGGGACTCCCTTTAGGCACCTTATTGCGATGCCGGTGTTTCAGCGCCCAGAAGTGTTTCCTCCCACGCCAACCAAACACAAAATAGTTAGGCGAAAGAGGTAGGTGCCTCCAGATGACCTTTTAGAGAATGTATGTTAAACAACTAGTTGCTCTCATTTGCCCTACATAGGCATGCAGCTTTATGTTGAGGGAGCCTAGGGACCCCGTGTTATACATTCAAATTAATACAGAAATAATTTTCCAAAGTGGGTATTTCTGTAGCTGTGAAACAAAAGTCCATGGAAAATTTGTTTTCTAAGGAAGAGCTAAACCTGACTTTGCACATCAGTGTCAAAACTCTTATGGATGTAGCTTGAACCAGACTTTACCTTAGAAGAAGGAAATGAAACACAACGAAAGCAAGCGCAGAATCAGAAACAATATTAAATGGTTCTTTCTCACACCAAAAATCAACCAAGGTGTGGTAAGTGGGATTCTACTCTTCAGCCTTTATCCTGCATGTGGGGACTTCACTCCTGATTGCATTAGGCACCAGACTACTCGGCAGTCTGCAGTCAGCCCTGCAGGTATATAACCTCCTCATTCTGAGGAGTTTGGGTCAATTCAAAATTTGTTGCTTGGAACCGTCATTAATTATGTTTGCAAAAGCAATTGCAGATGGCAATTAAAGCAAAATAAGCACCAGCTGTCGTGAAAGTCATAACTCAGGAAATCTTTTTCTCAGGTTGTGTAGTTCAGTGGCACAAATAATTGCACAATAACTAGTACTATTTGTCATTTAATATATGGGGCATGACCAGAAGACTTACTAATGTCTGACATCTTTTCTTTCAGGATGATTTTCTGTATAGCGTCTCCGTTTTAAGTGGAATCCTTTGCACTGTCTTGGCAGTAATCAAATTTATGCTGGGAAAGGTCCTTACAAGCAGAGCGCTGATAACCGATGGTAAGTGTGAAGTGGATCCTGCCGCATTTATAGGCTCTTCCTGGAATGTTATAGACACAGAGGATATGAGTGACCCCCACACAAGGACAACTGTGAAAGAGCATTGAAATAAGGCGGCCGCTGGGAAATGGAAAAAAAAACCCAAACCCCAGAACAGTCTGTGGTATCACTAGCCTCTTGCGCAGATACCTCAGCTGAGACGGGTATGTCTGGTGGATGTCAAACAGTTAATGTGTGGATAGTAAGCACTAATAGAGAGTTAGAGGTAGAGCATATAATGAAGTAGGTGTGTATTAGTCAGAGGTTAGACTACAGAGGGGGGATATGGCACCAATTTATATGGCTTAGGTTAAGTCACGTCTGTCCTCACTGCCTACGCCTGATAAACAATTTCATCTTTACAGTTAAAATGAAGCAAGTCTGTTGCAGAAAACGCCGCCCTGCTTTGAGCAGGAATCACAACCATCATTCATGCATACCCGCTGTAGACGTAATTTGCCACTGTAGTGCTTTTCCTGCCACTCAGGAGAGCTGGTGGAGCATCGCGTGTGTAAAACACAGCCTTGGCCTGCCTAGGGCCCTGCACTCCCGTGGCCCTGCCGGCGCTGGGCACAAGGTGAATCTTGTCCACTATATCCTTAGAACACCTCACGGCCACTGCGCCGTTGGCTCAGGTGTGTAGTGCCTGACTGTTGCTGTTTTCAAAGGTATGTGTAAAGGCATGTTTTAAAAGCAGGTCCAGCTACTCCTCTTACTGACAAGGCTCAAGCTTGTGCATCTTCAGAAAGCCACGGGGATCTGCTCTGCAAACAAGTGAGGCCGCAGTGATGGCGGAGATTTCACAGCACCCTACAAATCTCTACCAGTTTTTGTCTGCAAGCACAGGACAGTTTTAAATACTCTGTAAACATACACAGTAGGGTGTTAATGATTCATGGCTTGGGGTACATAAATTATTTTACTCTGCTAAAGATTTCACTTTAAGGAAATTCAGTTTTCAGCTTAATCTAGGGATACACACCATTGCTTTATTTTAAGTAATTTAAACATAATCAAAAAATTTTTGGTGATGTGTGATAACACCTATTATGAGTATTTATATTTTATATCGCCCCACTTACATAATAAATACTTGATGAGTATTTATATTTTAAATAGAAAATAAGCAAAAATGGAATCAAAACAGCAGTGCAGGGAGAACAACTAAGCTACTGCCTCCCTGCATTTGTGATTCTCTCCCAACAGACCACACTGTTCAGCGATCTTATTCTTTACTATAGACTCTGCCACCCTAGACATTTTGAAGCTAAAAGATCTCCAACCTGCAAAAAGGATTCTGGAAAGGATCCTGGGAACGACAGACCAGTGAGTCTGACTTCTTGCGCTGTCGGAGTGTAAGTGGGACACGTCGGCCGTTTCAGAACTGTGTCTAGGCAGGCAAATGATTAACCCTCCCTTTAAAAAAATGTAGCGTGTTTTTGAAACAGAACAGTTTCTTCAGACAAAATATTAGCTGAGAAATTCCTGAATAGCTCTGAATTGGTCTCCCGTATGACACAGAAATCTCTTCCCCCATAATTACATCCTCGTGCTAATTATATTGCTTCTGAGCTGGAGATTGCTCATTCTTTGATTAAAAAAATTAGGGAATAAAGTATACAATTACCTTGGTCTGGTTTTTATCTCTCTGTTCTCTCCTTCAGAACTACTTCAGAAAGCGTAGGAGGCTGATGTTACCATATGTGGTTAAATATCTTCTTTCACAAGATATATTTACATATATACTTGATTTATTAACAATCGGGGGGAGACAATGTGATTCAGCAGCTGAGACAGATTTAGCACTCCCTTGCATATCTTTTTTTAGTGTTTTCTGTTTCCTGCTAATTTACCTCCTGCGATCACTGGCTGTAGACCAACAAACTGTTTTGAGTAACAAGAGCATACATTTTTCTTCCTGAAAAATAAGTTTATTTCCAAAACAGCAAATTCTCTCTCATACGTGTCAACCTCTATGAACGCGTGTTTTAAAGAATAATTTTGGCTTAGAGTAGGGCTTGACAACAATGTCTCTTTAAAGCCTAAATGTAGGAATCCTAATCAGGCAAAATGTTATTTGTACAATTTTTTTATAGCAAATCTCGTGGCCTTTTGGATAATAAACCCAGCCATTTCCTATCTTGAATTTTGTAACATTTCGGAGGACAAATGCAGATGTGTGACAGGTGATGTCAGCCAGCTTTCCTGTAGGTTTTCGATACCGGTTTCTTTCCCAGATCTAGCCACCTGTTTCTTCCTGTGCTAGCCTTATGCACAGAACGTGGTGTCTGGATTAATACCTGCAGCCAGTACATGAGTTCCTGCCACGCCAGCAAAGAAAGGTTTGGCCGAATGACAGTCAGGAAGAGAAAACAGTTTCCTTTGGAAGTGGCTTTTAGATCATTTGGAACCGTCAGCCAATAATGGCACGAAAATATATTATTCCTACCTTTTGCACACCATGCTGAGGGATTGTGACTTAAGCTGGAGCAGGGGAAGTAGCACTGGTTTAAATTTATAGTTAATTAATTTATACTTAATGTTCTTTATAGATACACACACATGATATATTTCCTTGACATGTATTAGCAGTATAAGTGTTATTGCCTGGGAATAAAAAAGGATTCTTCTAGACTAGAGTGTTGACAGAGTAATTATGTCTATATTGGTTTAACTATACTGGTATAATGAATCCAATAATCAGGCATTTACATGCAACGCCTGCGATACCAATTGTAGCATCCACTGCCACAGTCCAAAAACACCCCCAACCCCTTTTCTTTGTAGGGCTGGAAGCCTGAAACCTTTGTATGCCCCGTTCTGCCACAGACTTGCTAAATAACACGTGCTTTTTCTGTGCCAGGGTTTCCTTTACATTCAAGTACCTACTGATGGGGAGCTGGTGAATCTTAATCACACTATCGATGGCTTATACAAGTATTTCACCTACAGGGATACGTAGGAAAGGTCAATTTTTAGCTACATCTTTCAGAAAGACTTAACATGATTTAGGTAAGGACTTTGGCTGTGAGAGGTCTGGATCAAAGGAGATCATCAGGAGTAAGTGTCAGGTATGTGGTTGCCAGTCGTAGGGAATTGGAAAAAAAATGGCTAAGTACTATAAGCGGCAGCTGACTAGAGTTGACTCGCCAAGCAAAACAGAATATTTCAAGTTCAATTTTTTCATATGTTAACTAGGTTAAATAGTATCTGTGTATCTACCCAATGAATGCATTATCAGTGGCTTTTTATTTGTAGAACAACAGTGATGTCTTTTGGGTTATTGAGAAAAAAAAATCAGAAAAAGGGAATTTGGGGAAAAAAAAAATGAACACAAGGAATGACTTAAAAAAAAAAAAATCCTAAACCAATAACTAATCAAACAAGAGTTGGAGGAAAATGGCATTAATTATTCCAAAAGCTGTGGGAGAATTTTGAAGGGACAATCTTGGAGACAAAGAGAAAGGGTTTAAAAAAGAAAGAGGAATCTAAAAGGATGTTCATAAAAATTGTGAATAATTGATACGAAGCTCCAGTGATATGTCTAAGGCATAAATGGAAAATATTCCTAGCATTATCCTGTACGTCTTTCCTAATGCACTCAGCAGTGTATGCAGCTGTAAGCCGTAGTGCCAAATACATGTAAATAAATATATGGAATGGGGTAAAAAGCTTCAAGAAACACTACTGTGCAAAACCATTTTCATTTTCATGAGCTCCTTAGGTACACTGGACTCCAGTTTGCTCCTTTTCAGGGAAAGTGAGAGCCTTAGGGTACCTTACCAAGTGGCCTTTGAAGTCCTAACCGGGCTATTTGCACATGCAGCAATGGCACCTATCATATGAAGAGGGTCTCTGGAAGATAACTGGGCTACAGCAGTCACACGCAGGGCTGCAGCCAGCCAGCCGCTCTTTTACAGCTCAAAGATGCTTCGTTCACGACGATAAGCTACAAGAGAGATAAGTGCTCGACCGTCAGAGTCAACATGCAGCAGGTCCAGTATTTTGAAGGAATATTGCTGTTTGGAAAACTCTCTGGTGGCACTGGTATAATAACGCCTTGTCTCCCTACAGATTACCTATTCTTAAGCAAGATGGTTAAAGCAAATTCCTTGAGATTTGGTTCTTCCTTTAATTATTTTTTTTTCCTCTTCTAGGTTTCAACTCCCTTGTAGGTGGAATAATGGGATTTTCCATCCTTCTTAGTGCAGAAGTTTTTAAACACAATTCTTCTGTCTGGTATCTGGATGGCAGTATAGGAGTTTTAATTGGACTTACAATATTTGCCTATGGAATCAAGTGAGTATCTATCTCCTGCTAGCAGGTATTTCGGTATGTACAGCAGATGGGCTGTCTGTTTAATGTAATAAGCCATTGCTCTTGAAGGCTTCTATAACTAACTCCAGTAAAATCAGTCACTGGAATTTGTTAGACTAGCTGCCAATACTGAAGCAGAGTGTGTGGAAAGGGATAAAAGATTGTGTGTCACATCAGTTGGAAAGAAGCCAGGAGTTAAAAAGAAATTGGAATAATTTTAGAAGACTTTTGTATACCTGAATTTGGAAATACCAGGCTTGAAATATTTGAAAAATAACCACAAATCTTGGATAAAATCAGTCCCTGTTGCTTTTATGGCACATTTCTAAGCACTGTTTTTTTCCGAAGAAGGTCTAGTTTAAAGGTAAGGTGCCCAAGTTTAAAGGTAAGATGCCCAAGTTTAATCTGTAGTGATTTCCATCCTAGTCCTACCCTATAGCAACTTCTGCACTGAAGGTTAGCCAGTCGTGTTTCAAATGTTGTTGCTATTGAATTTTAAGATGCTTTCTTGATTCACGACACCAGAAATAGAATAAAATCAAATGAAGCTCTGCCACGCGCTTCACGGCTGCCATGATTTCCCTTAGCTGCGTGGAATCTAACTAGAGGGTTTTGCGTTTCATCCTGCTTTCTGCCATAAGAGAAAGGGGGAGATGGAGCATCTTAGTTAATTGGAATTGTGCCTGTTGAGAAGCAGACCTTGGCCGGGCTGCAGTAAGCCGTCATCTGGAAGCTGTGTGGGTTTTTTAAACTCGGAAAATTAAATTAACATTTTAATGGAGAATACCATTCTTGGAAAAATCACTATAATCACTATTTCCATTGTAAAACTAACCGTTCTGGAAAACTGTAGAGGCAAATCCATACAGAAGTATTTATTTAACATACTACACGGCATCAGAAACATTATGTACAGCCACTGAAACTCATACTACATACATGCCATCAGTCTGCTCGACAGTGCGCTCGGCCACTGTGTTACCGCGACACAATGAAGGCTAATGAAGGATAAAACTAAATTCAGTTTTGGCAACTACCCGATTTTATAGTTTGTGAAACTACTGCAATTCTCCTCTACTGTTCGATACCTCCTTCCAGCAGCCTGGTGTGAAACAGGTTGCTACAACCATCCCTTTCCCACTAATCCCCCCATGGCTTCTCCAGCCAAAAGTGACGGCTGCTGTGCCTTTTGATTTCTGAATGCATCCAGGCTTCCTAAGGGACAGCCCCCCTCCACGCAGCTTGCTTAACGCTCCCGTTTGGGCAGAATTAATTGTAGGGCAGGATGAATTCTGATCGGGAGAAAGCAAGATAAGGCTCTTACTACATCTGAGTTCTTTTTAATTCATAAAATAATTAATATTTATAAGTAAAGAGAGCAATCCAGTCCCAGGGCTTTCCCGCGTCCCTGCATCACCACTCTTGTGCTTTCCTCTGCAGGTTGCTTATCGATATGGTGCCCCGTGTAAGGCAAACGCGCCATTATGAAATGTTTGAGTGAAGATCACACCGTCTCCTCTGTCAGGACTGTAGAACTACAGCATCGTACATTTTGGCAAGTGGTGCCAATGGTATTTTCCTAAATATGCAGTTTGTTTCCCGTGGTCTGTTTTTGCTGAAGTTTGTTTTAATGGGAAATCTCTCTGTAAAACTGGCATATGTGCACACTGCTTGCAATTCAGCGAAACAGCAGCATTTTTTTTTTTCCAAGTATGCTATTGATTCCTGTGACAATAGAAAACATGCAGTTTGCAGTTTTAACCCAGCTGCCATGTTGTATGTTCCAGAGTGAAAGTGTTCTTAATGGTGTGATAAGCCTGTGGGTAAAGAAGTGCCAGTTTCAGATCCTGTTTTCTTTTCCCCTGACCTGTATTTTCCCAAACACGTGCTGTAACAGAAGTACAATCCTTGCTAACCTCTTCGGCTAACCGAGCATCCTATGTAGAGTCTGGACACCAAGAGCTGTGTTGCTTAAAACACTTCAGTAGCTACTTCCCCCCCGCCATTCAAATAGGTGCACAGAAAGAGCAGGTACAGACCTTTCTGTGATCAGAGAGAGACTTCATGTTAATCCTAAATTAACTGAAACTATACCTCTTCAATTTAAATTCTATTTTTCTTAACGAGACACTGTTCATAGCTTTGCATGGACCAAACAAGCACACACAGTATTACTGTACAGACCAAAGCCAAAAAGTCGTGCAAGGAGGAGGAGCTGCTTGAGGAATGGGATTTTCATCTTCTGTTATACTATACGCAGATGTACCGGCGTGTGTGACATTGTGGTTGCTCTGTAGTCTGATGATGGCACAGCAGTGGCTCGATCTGGTGGTGAGATACAGATCTATTTATTAGATTTAGATTGTCCTGTGAAGTGTTGCTCACCTTCCATCACACATCTTCTATATTACTTAATAGCAGGTTAAATTATCAAAGAATCTTGATGTATAATGAATAAAACTGTTATCTATTTTATACAGTATCTGTAAGTAACATTTGAAAACTATTTCCAGAATGTATCATAGAACAAAGTCTTCCTGTATAGCAGCCTATTAAACTGGATTCTCTGGCTATATCCATTTTCTCTTCATTTTATATATTCCAGGTTGGTTTTCACAACACAGAACCAGTATTGTTGCTTCTGTTTATCACAGGTGGATAAAAAAATAGACAGTCCACTGGCGAGTTTGGAATAGGAGCACGGTAAGTAGCCAAGTAGTTAGAAATGGGCATTTCTGACTACACGACAACAGGCCACATAAACTAGAGCAGATGTACAATTAGACTGTTCAGTCATTGATGTACAGTGGGGACACTGACTTTTTTTACTGGTGCCTTGTGATGCTAAAACTGTATTTCCCATCATGTCACTTAGCAGGTTCTCAGCCGGATCCTTGAGGATCTAAAAAGCCAAATGCAAGTGCTATGTGTAGGAGGAGGCCACCCAAAGGTTTCCCTGACCTGACAGCGCCTATATGAGGTGCACGGTATTGGAAAGATGACACTCAGTTCCGCTTGAAACAGGAAATTCTTTACGGCAAAATGAATTTTGCTCTGCTGCTATAGTTTGTTTACATGTGTTTTGGATCAATTAAGTTTGTATAAATGTTTGTGTGCAAACTTTATAATATTGTTGCTATCAGTGCTGATGCTGCTTGTGCCTTGCTGTCACAGGATGATGCTAGAGATCATCGTGTCATTTAGCAGTAGGACGAAAGTAAGTAGGAGGCTTGAGAAGGCAAAGGAGCTACTCCATAAATGCATTCAGCAAGGACTCCGGAAAGGCTGTAAAGTGTCGGAGTCATCACTGTACTCAGCGCAGGTGGATTTTTAAATATCAGACACCACCCACCCCAAGACCCTTTCTTCCTGCACAAGTTCCTAATTTGTTATGCTTTTGCTTAGTCCTGATACTTTCCCGTTATGCTGCTTCTCTAACTCACAGTTCCATGAAGTGAGCTGTGGAACAGGTATTTCCCCACTGATTTTTTTTGTCAAGCATCTTCACATTTTGTCAAACATCTTCACATGAAAAGCACTGATGCTTTTGTCAAGCATCTTCAGCCTCAGCATCATAGAACCAGAGCCTATATTGGACATTCCATGGTTTTGTTAGTTTTAGTGGTACTGCTTACCCTCTTCTGCCTCTCCAGGGGCTTCGTTACTGCTCCAGTCCCATTGCTGGTTGTTAGGATGACACTTGGGACTACTGACAGTGCTGCCCCGCGGGGCCAGGCGCTCCAGCAGCCTCTTTGTAGCGGAGGCCAGCGCCAACTGCTTCTGAAGCAACGTGAGAAGGGGTAATTGGTTGTGGCAAGATAGTTTTAACTCCTGATGTAACCTTTGCAACGCAGAAGTCATAGACGACTGAAAGTACGTAGGGCATTCCAACCAACACCCAGCTCAAACATTAAATAGTTCTGTTAAAATGCTGAGTGCGTATAGGAGCACGGGACTACGCAGATGTGTTCGTGCATGAAGCAAAGCTAAGCACTGAGTAAATGAAGTTTCACAATTCTTTCTGGAACTCCGGCATGCTCTTAGAGGATGTTTGTAAGTGCAGACTCCAGCTGCAGAGCCTTTGAAAAGGAGATGTGGTTAAACAAGTTAATCAGACTTTTTCTTATCAGATTAATTTAAACCAACTACAGAAACTTTTCAGTTACCACAGGTGCTTCAAAGCATTTCTGATATTAGCAGGTGAATACGAGAAAATAACTGAAATACTTGTGATATACTTAAAAGGAAAAAGACCAGGAGATAATGATACTCGGCAATGAAAGCGAATACGTGCTGATGAAGCCAGCTAGCATCAGGGAGACTTTGTATGGGTCGTGGCAATAGGAAAGAAGATAAATAACTGCTCATCCAATTTACTGAGACACTCTGCTCTAGCCAGCCTCCCTCAAAGGTAACTCCCTGTATTCGTTTTCTTTGCTAAATGTCTGTGCCAGTTGATTTTTCTAACTATGAGGTAACAAGTGTGCTTCCAGCTAAGCTAAGTGAAGGTGGACCTTTCAAAAGCTGAAATAGCTCAAAAGCACTGGGACGAATCACCTGAAACTCAGCACTGGCTGCGGTAACATTTTGCTTGGTGATGGCAGGCTGCAGAGGCGTGACAGCACTGCCACGTGCTCCCGGTTCTGCACAGGACCCAGGGAAGGAGCCTCAGTGTTCATACAAGGGACAACACGGGCCAGTACGGAGGCTGCAGACTGACCGTTATTAAAGTCTGGCCAAACTCGGAATTGCAAATTAATCCCTGAGAATGACTATGAATCTGAGCAGATGCTTTGAATTTGGCCATATCGTTCAGTGGAGACGGAAGCTACCAAAAACTCTCACAGTAAGGATTACGCCAGCTGCAGTCTTGAATCCCAAGCTGTGCCCTGCATGCACCAGGTAGCCATGAAGCATATTTTAATAATGGATAATGATAACGTTCCATTTCTAGCTAAAAGGCAGATTTTTTGAACCCAGATTGTCATCAGGAAATCGCTACACTAACATCCCTTCATGATTTAGTCCCATTTCACTCGTAGCAGTAGTAGGTAAGCATAAATAAGCATGATCCAACCATGGTGGAAAAATGGAGCCTCAAAAGAAGCTCCTTGCTGAAAATGGTGGTCCAGAAATGGACCTGAAGGAAGGACCCCAGATAAGAATGGGCAAATTCAGCTCTGGGTACACCTGCATCTGGGAACGTACCACAGAGGTCCCCACTGCTAATAATGCCCTTTGCATTGCTGCGGTCCCAGCTGCCCGGGAAAAAGCGTAGTCATTTCTGGCGTCCCTTTTTGTGCGCCAGCTTATGGAGCTGCTAGGTCACTAGCCAAATATTAACCTTTAATAATACACAAAGCAGGAACGTTTGCTCCCAACCTGGCAACAGATTTTTCCTAGACAGTCAAATTTATACTCAAGAAATGTCTTGCCGTTTTCTTTTGAAGTCTCTGCGGACGGGGTGTCGAACAGAAGGCCGCGCTAGCAGCAAGCTGCCTCTGCAGCACCAGCGGGAAGGAAACACTGAAGCTGCTTGACCGGAGATTATCCCTGGGTTGCACGGGCTGGTGCAGATGTCCCAGCCAGAGCCTGCAAGGAGGGAGGTATTTTGCTGTCCCGAGTCCGCTGCGCGTCCGTGCTGGGCGCACTCCCACCAAGCGGTGCTGTGACAAAGCCCTTCGCCCGGCCTCTGCCTCTGTTTATGAGGACCAGTAACTAAGCGGGAGTAGCACACAAAAACACATTCCTGCGGCCTGGCATGCGGGGCCAGGTTACGCAATTGGAGAGGATAATTAAATCAAATCGCAGCCAAGGCAGGGATATTTCCCTCTCCTGTTCCTCCCACGGTTGGGAGCTGATGTTTCCCTTTCAGCCATGAGCTCGGCATTTGAGGCAGCACTGAACGGTTCCTGACTTGTACCTGTTCGGTGCTACTCGCTGCGGTCAGCACGGCTGCACCGCTGGCAGCTCCAGCGAGAGCGGATCCCCAGTGTGCAGGTCCAGCAGGGACGGACGCAGGCACCAACGCAAACACCGAAAGCACGTTTTATCCAAGGCCTGCAGAGAAGGGCTACCCTCTTCTAAGTTAGTTTGGCAAGTAACTAGGAAACATCCCATTTTGTCAGCTAACACTGTTGCCATCAACCCCGGTATTCTTCTGAGCTCGCCTTTTCATGGCACAGGCCTTACAGGATTGTCACCCTTCACCTTGCCACAGAGCAGGCAGCGGAGCAAAGGCAACACCTATTCTAAAATGGGTGAGTGACAACAAGTCCCAGCCTCCTGCTCCGGGGCTGCCCCGTCGGGCAGAATCCTTGGGCAAATCGCATCAATTCCTCCCTCCAATGGAGGCGGGGGGGAATTAAAGCTAAGAGGGGGCGCCAGTGGTTTGGCAGCTTCCATGTCAAAGATCGGCTGTACCCATTACCCACATGGCAAGCAACAGTTGTTACTTGCTGAAACACCAGAGGCTGGTACCTCGGTACGTTTTCTTGAGAGGTGGTGTTATGTTTCAGCACTTTAGTCCAGCACTGCCCGCTTTGAAGTGTCCCTCCTCACAAACGTGCAGAGGGCAGGTGCCTTCAGCCGGCCAGCGCTCCTCCGTGGTCCTGCAGCAAGCCGCCGGGAGGAAAGACAGACCGCCGCGCCAAGGGTCCACAAGACAAAGCAGGACCTACAGTGAGATTTAACAGCTGGAACCTGTTCGGTGCAAACAATGGTCAGTTTTTAGGAAACAAAGATTTACTGCCAGGATTTTAGCTAAATGCAATCTCCATAATCAGTAAAATAATAAAATGTGCAAGTCCCAACAGCATAATCGTAAATAGGGGGCATCCTAAGGCAGCAACCCGGGATGCTCCGGCTCTTGCGCGCTGAAGAGGAAGCGTCGGTGCGAGGTGAGGCTTTTGAAAGCGGCACAAAGTCCCAGCAAAATCTTTCCATCTGTGGACGCTGCCAGGTGGAGCTCGACTGAAACCAGTCTAAGTGTGTGAGAGTTGAAGTATTTGAGCTCCCCCAATGCTCTTTCCAATACAGCTGCACGGCGTGTGTATTTTTTTTATTCCAAGTTCCAATTTTCATACATTTTTTTTTCCATTATGTGACTGCAACGCAGCCCACATCTGACTCCAGCTGCTCACCATTTTACAGATGTCTCCTTATAATGTCAAAGCTGAGCAATAATTAGGGGAATGAAACAGGAAGGAAAACATTCCCAAAAATAACCAGAATGAGGGACTGAATGAGCAAGTGTCCTCCACTAATGCATTTTGATGTTGGGAAACATTTAGGAATTGTGGTATGGTGAATAGCAACAGAGAACCAACACCATTTTCACCCATTTTCATCTGAGGTGAAGCACGGCAAGGAAACCCCCATAGAAAGGGGCGACTGGTGAAGGACAGTCTCCTGCTTAACCTCTCTGAAGCAGTAGTAAAAGGCTCTCGCAGAAGCACCGCGCAGCAGCAAACCGCTAGCCACACGTGCCAAACTCCCTAATTCTGGCTAGGGAACGGACTGGACAACGGGCCATCCAAACCTTCTCCCAGCCCGCAGGCATTTCACCTTCCCGCT